ATTGGAATGCTGGTAGACCAGTGTTGGGGTGAATGGAATTACAAAATATTGCGACTTGTCATCTTGAAGTGGAAGACGCGTTTAACAATATTTTGTAATTTCATTCAGCCCAGTAACACTGTCACACAAATACTATTTATTTCGTAATCCTACAACTAATCTGTTATTATAAGTAAAAAATGTATCCGCTGCATAACTGCTAATTATTTTAACAATAACAAGTACCATATTTAATAATTTATAAGAAAATTTATTGTAATGATTAGTCTTCGTTAAGACTGACTCCTTATTTTTTTTAAATAAATTCTTCTTAAGGCTCTACAAATTTAAAACTACTAATTTTAGCAGTCAGTGGACAGCAAAGACCCTTGAAATCTATACTTTTTGTTGAGAATACATACACAGACATACATCATGGAATTCCTTCACTCCGTTTTAATCCATATTCTTATTGACTACGTATATGTGATATGGATTTAAATGATATTCTAAACGAACTGACTACTGTTACATCTTGTACTTTTACCACAGTACACTTTCCGACACAATTCTAATTTGACCTTACCGGCTATTGTATGCTGAAATATTTGGATTTTTGTAATTGTAGAGCCTGAAGAAGAATTTATTGAAACCGTAATTGTTCGCTGTAATTATTCTTGTTCTGAATGAATCATGGGGATATGTAAATTCAGATAAACAATGTTCAGTATGGAGTAGAACATTATGAAGAAATGTATAATAATTACAGTTTAATTTAATTATATTTTCTGAGCTGGTAGATTTAATTGCGAAACTTTCGTCGTCCTCCTAGACAGCATACTCAGAGCAAGTCTTAGTATGAAACGAACTTATCTGAATTCTTCATAGATGATATAATTGTATCGCTTGACAACCATTGTCGTGATTGGGTATTAATTCACTGCCCTTTTATTGACTTGGAATTTGATCTTTTTTGTCTTATGACTTATTTTTTATTAGTTGATAAATTTGGTCTGTAGTAATGCGTTTGTCAATCGCTTTTTCATTAGAGTGCCAGTCTTCTAGGAATTTCCTGGCATTCTGATATTTCCTCAATTTGAAATTTTTGCATTATCCTTATGAAAGAATACACATCTTGCCTTTCTACAGTTAATTTATGTTCATGGATTCTTATTCGAAACGGACGCTCATTTTGATCGATGTAGTATTTGACGAAGTCCATGCAATTTACATTGTAAGTGGTACTGATTTTACTTTCTTTTTCTTTTGGATCTTTAGTTCTGCACAATATCGAATGAGGTGATTGGATTGGAATGTGTGTTATTTTTATTTCAAATTGTCTTTGTATTCTAGCCGTTATTTCAAAGATGTTCAACCAGTTCAGAGAACATGACTAAATCAAAATCATTCACCTGAGCTACAAATCATCTCCATTATTTCGAAACTAGACCAAATCCAATGCAAATATTTGCGCCGTAACTAAATGATATATAAAATGTAAACCCATGCTACTTATCACTAATAAGTAGTATAAAGTTAAACACAAATGAAAAGATGATAAAGCATAGTTAGGTAAAGAATGAATAACTACATTCTGTTGTTATTTTCAAAGGTAAGAAATAGAGCATTTAATACCCTAGAACATTCATTATTGCAAGAGTAGAAGACAGGGGTTTTACTTGGTCTATCACCTGATCTACTATCAATTAGTCTAAATTTTCTGTCATGCTTTGGAATTTGAAACCTACTGCTGTCTCAACATTTCTCTGACGTGATACATAGGATTTTCAGTGCTTTTCGCTTATTTATTACTTTGCGTTTTAGAAAGAACATGCGGCCCAAAGCTTAGAGCTGTGAAGTTCTAACGGCAGAGGTGTTTATTTTTCACTAGGTAAGGTTGTTAGCTTCGCGCCCAACCTTCCCTCTTCGGGTAACTCGAGGTCTAGGAGTCAATCGTTCAGAAATCAAATCTTGTGTCGTGTACGTGGTTGAAGAGGATCCTACGGCTGAACCACAGAAGTTTGTGTCCTTACTGTCATAAATGACTCTATGACACTTCCTGCCATGTATAACCAACACTGTTAAGCAAACTTTTCCGACAAAGATTACCTCAAAATAGTTAATCTGCTGTTTTGCTGCTACCCGAAAGGGTCAGCATTTCATCAAATATCATAAAAATTAGTACTCTCAAACTAATTCTGCCTTCTTAGTGAAATGATTTCTTATGATATCAAATGTCATTTGTAGTGAGATCTCCATTACGATATCAAATATTATACACAAAGTTACCACATACAGGTATAAGAGTTTAGTCACGTTGGATTGCTTAATCTGTGAAGGCGTGACACATCGGCTTAAACACTCAATTCCCAACCAATGGGTCATAGGTTCGAGCCCCTCTAAAGCCATTTTAAGTCTAAGAAACTGAGTATTATCATCAGGCTGCACGCTATGAAATTCGGATTCTTAACCTGGTATATGAGAGACCGATTCCAGAACACTGATCTCAGACACTCTTTAATTTGATGCTCGTGCATCATACTGTCTGACAATAATAGTGATGATAATAATAATAATACTGCGTCATGGTGGAAGGGATGTTACTGCCGTTACATCTGATTGTTGAAATACGTTAGGTCAAGTCCACAATTAGAAGTCTAATTGGCGATTTGAAATCTCGACACAGTTTCCTTTGGAAACCGAAATTATTCCGATGACAACATATGATTCACTTGATCCTACAAATGGCAATCAAAAAAGCAAGCGTAAATGCATGACACCATATACTACTAACTCATTGACGTGAGTAGCTGGATATCCCTCACATCAACCAACAGTTTTACCGTCGCGCTTATCATTGGTGTATCCGGTTTGACTCAGCTCACGTAACCAAATTAGTAAAACCACAATAACTCTGACTTAAGGATAGTTAGAAGTGAGGTGTTATAATAATAATTAGACCAAATCACTCATTAATGTAAATAATAACAAAATGTAATGTCTTATCCATATACGATAACCTCTCCCGAAAATCCCTTTGCATACTAACTATTCACACGGCACAACTAACGACAACATAGATTTCTCTAGACTCAAATAATAATCCAGATGACTGACACAGTAATGCTGGGACGTCTGTTCCAGAAGAGCAAAATGAAAGAGAAATACGTAATTACAACGGCAGTAATAATAATAATAACAAAAGTAATAATTCAAGTAGTATAATGCAAAGTGACTGTGAATCAGCGTGGGCGTCTATCAAACGCACTGAAATCTGATTGGCCATTTTTTAACTGACAGGTAGAATTTGAATCCTGATTGGTAGGCTATCGACCTTGGCTTTCGTGTAACATAACGACAATCATATGATATTTACTGTAGACGAGAATATTTGTTTAATGTTAATGAAATCAACACGTCGATCAGATGATAAAGAGTTATGGTGCAATTCAATGACATCTAACAGTGGAATGTAGGACAGGTGTTTTAACGCATTAAGTCACCAGCTATAATAGCTGCTATTTCTCAAGAACACTGACCTACTTTCAAATTTTATGCATACTATTTAGTCTGTTAGACAATTAGATAGTTTATGCTGAAAAAGGAAGCTTAATTTTAAGGATGACCTAAAACCTATGATATCTTGGGCTGGTAGTCTGAAGATCCTATGTTTGATCGCCAAGGAGGATATGTATGAGTGCTTCTGAAAAGTGTCAAGCTAAGGGGATGATAGCTGTCCAGTATTCTCTGGTTTTCTAACTCAGTTTTCTAACTAATCAAATACCTGCCAACCAAAACGGTAATTTTAATAAAACCATACGTTCCGTTTTGGGCTACTCTCTAGCCTAGTGTATAACGTTTTAGCGTTTGAAACGATGGTCACTGGATCCCAGTCTCAATGGAGACACTATCAGTCACTGGGGATGAAGATGTATTCACCTGACAAGTCCCGAATAGAAAAAAACCCGCGTCGTAGATTTCATTTATAGCCATCATCTAACGAATATTATCTTTACAATACATTCATATTTATGATAATAAGTAAGACGACACTGAAAGAAAACACCGAAATAAATTGACAAATTAACTGACACCCATTTCAACACAAACTGATTATCACATGTCAAGCGAAACAGGCTTCTACAAGTACTGCTGTATATGCTGATCTACCCAGGGGAGATGGAAAATTACGGACTTCAGAATCTGAACAGTGCGTCTGTGGCACAGTGGTTAGGACTCTCGCCGACCATGCACATGGTCCAAGGTTCGATCTCCTGCCGACGCACACCTGATACCTTTTACTGTCTGGATTAACTGAGGTTCTAAGCAGCGTCTGGGAATCAGAAGAAGTCCCATCGAGTTGGAGTAAGTCACTGATTATCCCCATATACAAGAAGGAAGACAAGTCTTCCTGTGATAATCACAGAGGGATTAGCTTGACTAATATAGTATCTAAAGTCCTAGGCTTAATAAGGAAACATCCTCAGTGCTGCGCTTCTTCATCTTCCTATCATGTCCCCCATGTTGTCCTACAAACACAATTTATTTCTCCTCTCCGTTATTAAATTCATCTCTCTATTATTCAACATTCATTCAGATGATAGACACATTTATATCTGTATTTGTATACTACTTTTAAAACTTGTCAATAGTACGGCCTCAATACTACTACTCACAAGTTAGATCCTTAAAAAATAAAAATGCATATTTAACTGCAAACAATAACAGGTGATATTGAAAGAAAGTTTAAGTAAAAAAGGGTGATAATCACTGATATTGAAGAGAACGAAGAAACACCCACCCACCCCTTGGAAAATATACTTTCTCTTGTTTTGTTAAGAGAATTTTTACTGTAACAAATAAACAAATCGAGTTTTCCTATCTTCTATCACATACATATATATATATATATGTACACGACATACATAAGAAGAAAAGAAAAAAGTGAATCTATTCAATCACGTGATTGATCACAACTAGTTAGCTTATGAATGAGCTAAAGCAAAAAAAAAGAAACAAGGTCATTGACAAGAAAATTTATTTACCTCTTCATTCTTTTTAAAAGTACACTTCACTTTTACGGGTTTGAATAAAAATCAAGCATTTTTATTCTGTGTGCAATAGCTTTCCCTTTTAACTCCATAAAAAATTGCCTTCTTTTGATGAGCATGCTAAATTCCAACTGTATTGGTATTCATTCTTTCAACTCCAAGCAGAACATCTTCAGCCCACTCGGTTCCCTGCAGTAACTTCCCTCTGGCTCCAAAACTCTGCCTACAAGCTTTCATTTCTGTCTGTATACCATCGTTGGGCCCACGGAGGACTTTCCACTTCCTATTTGAATTCTACTTGACCGTCCGTTATGTAATGTCTGCCTCTATTTGGTCCGGTATAATTTGTTCAGCAGCAGATTCTTGCTACCTGACAGAGTTCCTTCATGATAATCGTTTCTGGTTATCTGAAGTTCACTATGAAACAAAAACAGTTGTTGGTGAAAGTCAACAATAATCTATTAGTAATGCTTTTCATGACTGATTCGCCAAGTTTCTGACATGTATAGAAGAAGCGACTTGACATTAGTGTTGAAAATCTGAATCTTGTTCGTTATGCTGACTGAGTGCAGAAGATTTCCACACCAATTTCAGAGTAATGAAGGTGTGTCCAATCCTGACTTGTGGAAGAACAATAGAGCTTCATTGGATATGACAAATCACAAAGAGTGAATGAATGCACCTACGCCATCACTGAGAACGATTTTGAACCATATCACCAATTGTCTCCAGCCATTTGTTTTTACCATCCCGAGGACCCAAACCAGGAAGTCTACACCTACCTGCCTATGTGGCTGGCTTAATCTAACTGTTGTGAATTCCATCGACTGGTAAAGCCATGTTTTGGTTTGAGCACCACTAGCTCTTTTCAAACTTCATAAATTCTATGCCAGCTAACATCGCCCGTGGAAGTAGGCGATGGTTAGGCATGAGTAACACATGTTTTAACCATCGTAATTGATGTAACTTCACGACCTCGTTGATTAATTCCCCCCCCCTTACCCAGTACTCGACACCTAATCTCAATATTACTCACTCAATTATACCACCTAACACGGGAAATAGAACGCAGGCGCTGAAGCTTTTCCTCGTTTCATATTAGTGACAGTTTTTGTAACCTCAGATAGGAACAGGGGACCCGTATTTATATCCCATTCAGGAAGGTGCGGGATGCTGAGTGGGTGGAGTGTGGCTGTAGGCCAGTTAGATTGCTCCTCAAAGTGTTCCTTCCAGGGTTCCAGTTGTCTCTCCTGTTTGTTTTCGACATAAAACTTTGCACATATGTGCGGCAGTCCAAGTCGCCACACTCCCCACATGTAGCACACAAAGCAAGAGAAGAAAGTAGAAGAAATGCATATTAGAGACAGTAAACAGAGGTGTGAGACAAAGGAATAGTAATAACGAAAAACAAAACAGTTTCATTGGAAATCATAAGTCATAAGGAGTGGATGCATCTGCAACAGCTATTGAGAACGATTTTAAGCCATGTCACCAATAGTTTCCAACCATTGGTTTTTACCGTCCCGAGGACCCAAACCAGGAAGTCAACACCTAAATTTCTCCATGGCTGGCGTAATCTAACTGTTGTGGATTTCATTGACTGATAAAGCCATGTTTTGGTTTGACCGCTGCTAGCTCTTTTCCAGCCTGACCCTATATCAGCTAACATTGACTGTAGAAGAAGGCGATGACTAGGCATACGTAACACGTGTCCTAACCATCTCAGTCGATGTAACTTCACAGCCTCGTCGATTGATTTACCCCTCCACCTACCTAGCACTCGACGGACGCCTAACCTCAATATTGCTCACCTTATTATACCACTTCATACGGGAAATAGAATGCAGGCACCTATGATCAAAGACAGCTAATCTTTTCATGTCTTCCACTCTCAATGGCCAGGTCTCACAGCCATAAAGGAGGATGGAGGGAACTGATGAGCAGTACGCCCGCCCTTTGGTCGATAGCCAGCCGGATATCACGTCTACGCCAGAGACGGCGTAAACTGGCGAATGTGAAACGAGCCCCCTGTATCCGTGCTGAGATTTCGTCAGAGATCAACCCGTTGGCACTGGCAGATGGTACTTCCCAAGTAAGTGAAGCGGTCAACGTGCTCTACCACTTCACTCCCTATTTCTAATCTAGGAGTCGGTGTAGTCCAGTCCTGTAACAACATCTTGCATTTGGCAGGAGCGAATCACATGCCATGTCTCTCCTGAGAGCTAATTATGGTGCCATTTTTCTCGGAGTGTTTCACTAATTATTTTCCTGTTGCCACCTATTTCCCTGATAAGCCTAAATAGTTTTCTGGTGTTACCTATCGCCGATGCCTTTTCCATCTCTTTTGCTTTTGTCGACCACCACTGTTCACGGTCGTTGCGAAGACTTCTTGTAGGTCTGCGTTTGAGCGACTTTCTCTCCACATCATATTCGGAGCTCGCCAGGATCAGTCTTGGTGCGTTACCCAACTAGGCAGTCTCCACTTCCTTATGTGGCTGGCTCAAACCAAATGTCGAAGATTTCGTGGATGATGCCAGGTTTTGGTGTGACCATCCCCAACTCTTTTCCAACCTAATTCTATGTCAGCTGACTCTGGTCGACGAGGATGGCAGTGACTTGGCCCGTAGAATACGAAGAATATCAATTATTCAGCGATGTGTATTAAACTATTATTATTATGTGAATCATTGAAAAGAATAAAAATACTGTTTGGGAATACTACTGATTTTGAAAGAAATTACATAATAAGAAAACGAAACATTTCACCCGTATAGTTATACGGAAGTTAAGAACTATATCATAGCATTACTCAGACTATTATGTAGTCCAAGGAACCTTCAGAGTCAAGCTGGAAGCTCTCAAAGCAACTGGAGATAGACTACAATATAAGTTCAACACTCCGAATCTGAAGGACGAAACTATAAGATACCTTTCACTATCAGAGCAAAGTCGGAGACACTACGCAGCATCATTGAGGAAACCTGTGTGGAACAGCATTGGAAATCTGTAAACGTGATGTTCGAGCAAACGTGTATGGTAGTTGTAGGAAGAATGAAGAGTCAAGACAAGGAATGGCTCTCTATGGGGAAGTGGAAGCCAATGGGAGAGAAGGGGAGGTGAAACAGATGACTTCAACGTATATCGTCGTGAACTAAGAAGCGAAGAGTGAGAAGAAAGACAGTTTCACGAAACACTGGAAACTGAAACAGAACAAGGTGCAGGAGAAACAGACCTCATAACATTATATCTGATAACCAGGTTTCTATCCGCGTAGAGATCAACACAGATGAAACTAATAAGCGACTGTCGAAAAAACCTAATTAACAAACAGGAGGAACAAAGAAAACAATGGGCTGATCACCTCAAAAGGCTCCAGAACAGATCACCACCTGAAACTCATCCAGAAATACCACCAACAGTGCTAACAGAACTACTAGTGGACACCGATAATCCAATAAAAGCAGGAGTCTTGAGTGTATTCAAGCTGCTGAAAGTCAACCGGGAAGGCAGAACTGTCAGACGGGCTTCCTCCAGAAGCACGGAAAACGGCACAGAGGCTGCAGTAGATATGCTTACTCCACTATTGCTAACAATTCGAAGGGAAGAAAAGGTACCAAACGACTGGAAGAAAGGGGGTTTCGGTCTCCATAGGAACTGGTACAGTATCATGCCCATGTAGATGCCAAATAAGATAGTAAGTCGCGTCATCCCAAAGAGAATAGAAGATGCACCAGATGCATAACTCCCCCTGGAACAAGCAAAATCCAAGAGAAGCAATTTATGTAAGGATCGAATCGTAGTTCTACGCACCATCATTGAATAGAGCATAGAATGGCAGTCAAACCTCTACCTCAACTTAATCGACCTTTAAAAGGCGTTCAACGGTGTTTGTTGTGAGGTAATTCGGAAACTACCTCAATAATATAGAATGCCCAAAATCTTTGTCAACCTCATTCAACGGCTAAATGACAATGCCGCATGTCAAGTGATCCACAACGGAAAACTCGGCGAAGTGTTCGAAGTGAATACAGAAGTACGACAAGGAGGGCTGCCTACTACCACCGATGGTATTTTTAATTGTGGCGGACTGAAATGTGCAGCACATCATGCGTGAGCAGACAGAGAATACAGGATTACGTTGAACCGACGAAAAGACTCTAGACTTGGAATTCACGGATGACTTGTCTAGTGTCACATGAATTCGACGACCTACAGGCGATGGCCAACAAGTTGTCAGAGGTGGAAGCGAATATAGGACTCCAAATGAATATAGAGGAAAATTTTAAAGAGGTCACTTCCTTTACTTATCTAGACAGCAACGTTTCAAATAAAGGTAGTCCTAATGAGAATGTGAAAACCAAAATTGGAAAGGCAAGACAGACCTCCATCACCCTGAAATCAGTTTGTAAATCTTCTGCACTCCTCAGCATAAAGAACAAAATTCGAATTTTCAAGACAAATGTGAAGTCAGTCAGCCAGTTCTTCTATATGGGTCAGAGACTTGGCAAGCGCGTTAAAAAAAAGCATTTCAAACAGGCTTCAGAGTTTTATAAACAGCTATCTTCAATGCCTCCATACTGAAGACCAGATTGCCTGTCAGAAAGAAATAGCAACACGAACTTACTGCCCAACAAGTCTGTCGTAGGAAATGGAGATGGATCAGACGCACGCGCTGAGGAGACCATTAGGTGATATCACGCGCCAGACCCTCGAGTGGAACCCGAATGATAATCAACGAGTTGAGCGTTCGAGGGTGATATGGGGAACATGTGAGATGATAGCCTATGGGCAATCTTTGAACCAGATAAATAGGACTGCAGAGAACATAGCAAAATGGAGATATGCTGTTGGAGCGCTATGTTCCACTCGGAATCCAAGAGAATCACATCATCATTTATGAAGTTAAACAACAAACGAAAGAATTTGTTGATTGCCGATCACGAAAGATACGTTAATGAAAATATATAAAATCTGTAGTTCAGATGGTCGTTTAGTACTACTGTATAAATATTTTTTAATGGGTATTGGAAACTAGGAAACCGATAATTTCTTTTACTGACGTGAAAAACATCAAAGTGATAGACCTTTGAAGAAAACGTCATTAAGTTCAGCATACCTTTATTTCCAAGGAATAACATCATTTATTACTACCCACTTTACCCACTAGCTGCCTTTGATCATAGGTGCCTGCGTTCTATTTCCCGTGTAAAGTGGCATAATAAGGTGAGCAACATGGAGGTTAGGCGTATAGTTCTAGGTAAACAGGGTAAATCAATCGACGAAGTCGTGAAGCTACATCGACTGAGATGGTTAGGACATGTGTTACGTATGCCAAGTCATCGCCTCCCTCGACGAGCTATGTTAGCGGATATAGGGTCAGGCTGGAAAAAAGCTAGCGGCGGTCAAACAAAAACTTGGCATCAGTCAATGAAATCCACAACAGTTGGTCTTAGCCACGTAGGAAGGTGTAGACTTCCAGGCTGGGGTCCTCGGGACGGCAAAAATCTATGGTTGGAAACAATTGGTGACATGGCTCAAAATCGTTCTCAGTGGCGCAGATGCATCCACTCCCTGTGACTTATGATCTTTAATGAAACTGTTTTGTATTTCTTTATTACTCCTTTGTCTCACACCTCTGCTCACTGTTTCTATTATGCTTTTCTTGTACTTTCTTCTCTTGCTTCGCGTGCTACACGGAATGTGGCGACTTGAACTTCCGCACATTTGTGCAAAGTTCTATGTCGAAAACAGACAGACAGACCCACTTTACTAATGATAACTAGAACTGAAAACAACACAAGGACACGGACGACATCAAAGATGAAAGAAATGAAAGAAAAATACTACAAATATTACTGTCTGTCTGTCTGTCTGTTTTCGACATAGAACTTTGCACAAATGTGCGGAAGTTCAAGTCGCCACATTCCGTGTAGCACGCGAAGCAAGAGAAGAAAGTACAAGAAAAGCATAATAGAAACAGTGAGCAGAGGTGTGAGACAAAGGAGTAATAAAGAAATACAAAACAGTTTCATTAAAGATCATAAGTCACAGGGAGTGGATGCATCTGCGCCACTGAGAACGATTTTGAGCCATGTCACCAATTGTTTCCAACCATAGATTTTTGCCGTCCCGAGGACCCCAGCCTGGAAGTCTACACCTTCCTACGTGGCTAAGACCAACTGTTGTGGATTTCATTGACTGATGCCAAGTTTTTGTTTGACCACCGCTAGCTTTTTTCCAGCCTGACCCTATATCCGCTAACATAGCTCGTCGAGGGAGGTGATGACTTGGCATACGTAACACATGTCCTAACCATCTCAGTCGATGTAGCTTCACGACTTCGTCGATTGATTTACCCTGTTTACCTAGAACTATACGCCTAACCTCCATGTTGCTCACCTTATTATGCCACTTTACACGGGAAATAGAACGCAGGCACCTATGATCAAAGACAGCTAGCTAATCTTTTCATGTCTTCCACTCTCAGTGGCCAGGTCTCACAACCATAAAGGAGGACGGAGCGGACTGATGAGCAGTACACCCGCCCTTTGGTCGATAGTCGAACATCTCGTCTACGCCAGAGTCGGCGTAAACTAACAAATGTTACTGGTATACATATCGCCATCGAATCAAGTGGATGGTACTAACATAATTTCGCATCTAAAGACTAATCTGAACAGAGATTTTAGAGAAAATCTATACACCTGAGAATGTTTTCAAACTTTAGAGAAAAACGAATCCATACAGACTGATGTAGGAAACTTGTTCATAAGTAGTTTGGTTACACGATGTGATAGTTTCCTCAAAAATATATTCATGTCTCTTTGAATTTCTATCATAGATGAACGTGTTTTACGTAGCCGAGGCGGAACCTAACTAAGCATAACTAATATTACTACTTAGTTTCTTCTTAACAAAAAGGAACACTTTATTTTAAATATGCTTTATCTGACGATCACCTACATACAACAAAGTGGAATTTCTTCGACAATCAGTTAAGAGCTCAATTATTATGCAATAACTACTCATAGTAAAAAAGCTTATTCACACAAATTATTATACAAATAACTGATTGAAAAGGCTTCATTTTTCTGGATAAAAGTGTAATGAGAAATTTAAAAAATTACATGAGATTATGAAAATAAATCACAGTTAAGTTAAAAAACAGAAAATGATTACTTTGTCAAAAGGCTAATAATGGCAAAGGTTGATTCTTAATAAGGATTGCTTTGGCTTCAAGATGACGGAAAGGAGGTCCAGAACAGTCGATTAGTACAACATGACCAACAATGTATACATTATCATAGAGATTACCGAGGAATTCATCTGATACCGTAGTTACTACTTGTCTTGTATTACGAATAAATTCACGTTTAGACATTTTGTTTTTTATTGATGGACTCCAAAGATCAACTGATAACATGATCATTGAGAAGCATAGTAGATAGACTTCATCTAAAAGAAATAAATCAGTGTGATTTAGTGAGTAGTGCTTAGCTACCTTATAAAATAAATTAATTCCTCTTATACAAACTTATCTCTCTCTCTCTAACTACTGCGCAAAATTATTATAAATGGGACTTCATTTATTTGAAATGTGAAGTTTACAGGTTTCCATAATTATGTAAACAAGGATAGGCATATCTACTTAACATATAGCAAACAGCAGTTAGAAACATATTTGGCCTATCTCCAGGACATTTTAGTAGATGCTATTTAGCTTGATTAATTCAGTTCCTATTTTAATCTTGACTTAAACCTTCTACAATCTCATGGGAGGTGAGATACTACCTTTCTTTTAATCAGGTGTGTACACATCACAACCAGAATCAACATTGAACAAACCGTTCGAGGCAACAATGAAAAAGAGATACTACAGCCGAGTGTCTTTGAACCAACCGATCGGATCGCTCAGCACTAAGGTGGATGCTTTGCATAACCTTAGTTGAAAGCTTCACCCTCATTCAGGGCTAAGGTTAGGGTAGAATTGAGGCCGGGTTATGATTAACATTAGGGTGAAACTTGCAACTAAGATTATGAGAAGCATCTGCTTGTAATGCTAAGCAAAGTCATTTGACCGTTCGATTATTATTTGTGCATTCGGAAAAATCTTTATTTAATGACAGTTCAGAAAATTAATTTTATACAATGAACTGCATAACCGTCAAAAAATGCATTAGAAAGCACAGTAAACGTGATATTACAGTGGATAATTTTTGCTTATCCTTTATAAGAATGTCTCCCAGTCACTACACGGGTAATGTAAATAGAATTCATGCCATGCGCTATAAACGTATTCATCTAGATGATTGCAGATCATGATAATTTGAGATTCATTGATATTCCTGATACCGTTCTTTAGCCTACCCTTAACTATAACCGTAATCCAAACCCTAATCTTAAAGACGATAACCCTAACTAACTGTAGAGATTTACAGAAAAAGTACATAAGGAATAAATAGAATACTGCATTTGCCTCCGCCAAATTCAAAATGCAGTCATGATTTGATTTGGAATGATCTTTCATACAGTTTCCTGTGTCTGATTGGTCCTTGAAGGTTAACTTTCCACAGACCTCGACTTCAGCTATGATACTTTAACTTCCCCGGATGAAGACATGCAACAGTCTCCCAAATGTAGAGCGGAATATCAAGCTGGTATTCTTATTAACTAATATACCACCTTCAGCTTGACAGATACATCTGCTGTACTAAAAATACTACAATACAGCTTAGTGATGATACTTCTTACAAAATAATAAACAGAACAAAACTGAACTACGTCACGACAAATCCGTGAAAATATACGAAGCTACCAGAAGACAGCCTTAGAGCAAGAAATATACGCCAGGATAAAAACAAACTACTCAAGGAGTCGATGAGGTATCACGGCCTAAGTCAAGGTCTGTCGAAAGTTAGCTCCCAAGAGCCAACTAGGTTTAAGGAACTCTACGAAATGTCATTCCATACTAAATCATACCTGCCTTTTTGAGTTTGGGGATAGTATGATAAGAGAGAAATACAATTTTCAGAGACAAATATTGCTATGAATGCAGTTCATTCTATAGGTGAAATTCCGTGAGGGCGGGTACAGAATTCTACCTTATTTACTAAGCACTCTTTTCTGACATTGAGTCAGGAATGTCAATGGATCCCTAAGTACCGTAACCTACGGTCACCTGCATTAATACACCTATCATGTGTAGTTTGATTTCTCTAGAGATTATCTTTGAAGTAAATGAGAGATATTCTTACGATCATCCAGTGCGATATCATGTTTGCAATGCTTTTTAAACATATTTTTAACGATCACGCACCCACCCACGTTCGGAATGGTCGTCCAAGGTGACTATGATTATGGCCGATTGCCTCCAACCATCTAATATCAATAATACTTTAACTTCGCCCAAGAGTCTTTTACTTATTTCACTTTATTACTTATAAAATCATACGCTAACATGTAAAAAGAACAATAATTGAGTCTAGTCTAATTAAAAAAAGACTAAAACTTCTAGCGGAAGTTTTCTACTAATAAGAGGATACAGCATACTGGTATACAATATATAACAGGAAACGTACCCCTTGTAATGCCAAGGTCTGGGTTACACTGAGTAAACCTCTCAGAGAACATACTGACCAGAAGGTGAATAAACGGAGATGCACCTGGTCCTGATGGTGGAGCCGGTAGTTCAGCAAAAAGACGTCGCAAAGCATTTGGGAGAGAATGGTTCCTGAAGTCTTTCAAGTTCATCAATCCCCTCAACACCTGTGGCCTAAATACATATTAAAGCTTACCAATTGAGATTACCTAGTCTCCAAAAATCTTCTTTTCTGGAATGGATCTAGACCAACTGCTGAGTGAAAAAAGTTCACAAGGTCATCAATATTATCATCAACCAACCGGTGTTTGAACATGTATGCCATACCCTGGAAATTAATAAGCACACCTAACTCACTTCAAACGCATCCGCATTGAAAGTTAGACGTGCCTCATCTAATCTCAGATACAGCCGACGAAATGATGGTTCGGACTGCAATACTCCATTATTATAAGCTGAGCAGAACGGCCATGACGCCTTACACAAACTGCTAATTACCTAAACGGTAGAACTCACCTTCTCCACAAAACCTCATCATAAGCCAAATCATACCACACACAAGAAGCTAAATATAAATCAGTGGCATTTAGCCTGGACAACACATTGAGTGCAAGTTCAGCTGGTAAATGGTGCAAGTCAACAAATTTAGAAGGCCACTGAGGATTATTCGTAAGATCATCAGACTCTAAAAATATAGACTATATATTTGACCAACTTTTTGGACTTGGATTACTATGCTGAAATGTTAAAGTTAGTCCCATCCTCCAACCAAATCATCAGGGTCAAACCAACCGCTACAATACTCTAATCGTATATGCCGCTATTCGTTCATTTTACGTCTACATACAACTGGTATTGAAATGATGACTTATATTATAATTCTCTTTCAATGATCTCTAAGCATCCATAAATTCTAAGAAATCCAGTTATATGATGTAATGCCCGGTTAATTAAGAAGGACACTGAATAGCGTCTAAGAACTTCCTTCTTTAACTTAATCTGAGAGCTTTTGTAGGTCTATCTTATCACCTTAATTACCTCTGGACTTGTTTGCGGGACCAGTCTCCCATGGAAAATAATAATGACCTATTTCTTCAACTTAAAACATTCAACATCCGAAGGACGGACAAAACCATTAAGTCTCACGAAGTGTTATAATATTTCTAGAGTATCAGATAACTGGAATACTTTCCACATCATTAGGATCATGGCTAGGCACTACATATTCTTGGAAGTGCTCCTTTTGAATCTGTATGAAAAAATTCCTTTAAGATGAATTGCGTCTAAATGCGAGTGAAAACAATTTACCGGTCGCTATGATGACGCCTAGGATTTGGCACTGTTAGAAGATAAACGATAATGAAAATGATTTTTTCTGTATACACGTAGAGGCATTTGCATGACCAGCATATCAGTTTTAAATGCAGTCACTTTGGACTTAAGTGTGTAATATATCAAGTCACCGAAGTCTTGACTAGTTTTAATTTGTAATACTAAAGATTGGTTAATGAAAGTGTCATGATCAGTGGTGACGCTTACTGAAATAAGCTCAGGGGCCAAAGTAAGGTAATTTTAGCGTTATGCGCTGGATACAAGTTCAGTTTATACGCCACCAAGTAAGCTTACCTAGCACAAAATCATTTATAATTTTAAGCCATGAGGACTGTGAGGCCACATTTCTATCGCATAACTATGGAAAGCTACCAAATAAATACATTGCAAACTTACTGAAATGCTTTCGATGCAAAGCGCTGACGTGCCGAACTTCATTTTACACTGTTCTCAGGGTGAGATTCCAAAGAGCCACAGTTATAAGCAGTAAAGTTAGTAGTTTGAGAACAGTGTTTGCATCGTGTAAGAGCGGTGCGCGTAAGTGCCTTAAGTGAGCTTGTTTGTAAATCTTAATTCAGTGAATGGATGGAACCTTAAGTGATCACCCTGAAAAAATTTCCATTATATACAAACCAGAATGTGACCCAATCAGTAAAACCGAATATCAACTAAGAGACCAATTAGGTTGTGCAATTTGTGAGAGTCATTGACAGATTGGCCAAACTGTTTCTTTGGATTATAAAGTAAATGATATTGTAAAACGGAGAAATTCAAAGTTGCGTAAAGTTTTCCGTCCAAATAAATGAATGATCTATGACATGATGTTGACATTTCAGGAAGCGAGTCAAATCTCCCATACCTGATGCACATAATATGGTCGTATATATTTAGTGTTCGTGAGAGTGTCATTACAAATTAACGAAGAAATGACAGGGCAGAGTACAACCTGGTGTGTAATGAATCTTTTCAAAAAGGCAGATGAAGGTAAAGTGTGGTCAGAAGGGCTCCCATATCTTCGATCTCATGGGTATACGAGAAGAGCGAAGACACTTTTGAGGCAAAACAAAATCTTTTCCACTATGTGATTTCCTGTAAAGAAACATCTACAATGATGTGCTCAAAATGTTCCCTTCGAAAGCAAGAACTAGCCCGCTTCCATAGCACCATTATCTACTGTTAAGTATTGTATTTACATGAGGAACAAAAACAGGACATGACTGAATTAAGAGATTAAATAATATGCTCCAAATATTGATGATGATTCCAGTATACACAAAAAACACATCCACTTGAGATGCCGTACAAAGCTTTGGCGTGAAATTTTTGTGAAATCTGGACTTTGGATTTTCAGGCGTGATTTGTAATGCATGGAATGAGAGATGATGTTAGACACAAAAGGAAAAAGCCCGTCATATGCTCAAATGGCGATTAATAACGGCACATTTGTGATGCGAATAAGATGTATTCAAAGAGGTAAACACAGCGAATAAAACATAGTTGAGGTTTTGGGGTATATTAATCATGCATGTTCAATTCTTAAATTACATGCTTATTAAAAAACTTAAAATATTAATGCATCCCATGTTCTCTTGTTTTACCACGCTTGTTTCCCTTATAACACTCAATTATTGAGCCTACTGTATTCTCTCATATACGAATTATATTATTGATTATCCCCTTATCACATATCGAGTAAATGCAGTGGAAGATTGAACGATCAATTCACGGTTGTTTGCTCAAAACCAACTTCCCCAATTTTCGCGGAGGCATCAATACGACAGTCATCGTCTCATCGGTCGCTGTTCAGAAAGAAGTCAGCAGTAAACCGTCAGAAGTAATATTGTGATTTATTATTGTAATATTTGTTCACAGACCTTAGTGGAAACATTTTTTATATGTTGGTGTAACAATAAAGAATCCTCGAGTCAACAATTGGTGTTTTGGTTTTTTCGTCCGTTATTACTAAGCGTTTTTGAGAAACTTCAAGGAACAGCGTGAGCCCGAGCGTAGCAAGAGCTGGGCATTAACGGTTTACGAGACGTGGCTGACAGTTTCTGACGATAGAAACAGATTCTGGCGGATTCAGACAGTTGGTGAAAGTTTGGATAGTCACCGTTCATCTCTCCTGGTGCCGGTCAAGTCCTCTTTGAACAAGCAATATCTGGAACGTTTTTGGAATTGGGTCAAGTTCAACAATGCCTGGGTCAAAGAAGGGACAGAGTGTCTTGGATGCAAACAGGAAAGTAAGTCATGGTGACTTGTCTGTTAATTGTAACGATGTGTCTGATGTTAAGCATGACATGGTTGATGTTGCTGTTTCGCCGTTCAGGGATAATAGGAACATCAAACTCCCTAAATTTGAACCACGGTGTTTCGATGGAAACCCGGCTGATTATTTACAATTTGTAAAGGAGTTTGAGATCATGTTGAGTAGTTTTTTATTAAGTGATGAATTGAAATTGATGTATTTGATGAGGTATTGCACTGGAGATGCTTCAAGAGCTATACAGTGCTGTAAGCTCATGCCCCCTAATGAGGGATACGCTGAGGCTATGAGCATATTACGTCAAAGGTTTGGAAGACCTTCAATGATTGTAAGGAACGTATACGAAGCTGTCAAAGGTAACGGCAGTCAACTTCAAGATGACTCCAAGGCACTTACTGAGTTTTTAGATAATCTTATGACTTATAAGAATACCTTGATTTCGATGAATTGCATGAGTGACCTCAACTCGAGTTTTATACTAGAAGTAATAGCAAGACGCCTACCTACTCGACTGCAAAGGAAGTGGGTGAAGATAAGCTCCCGTATGGAGGATGAGGGTATCGAGCCAAAATTTGATGATATCCTGAAACTAGTAAAAGATAGTGTCAATCAATCTATGAGCAAGTTTGCCAGTCTATTGAATCTCACCCCTAGAATAGAGCAGTCTGAGGGTAAAACGCAATCATTGATGACGAATAGGCCTCAGAGAGGTGGATATCGAGAAGGCTCCATGATGTCTAGTAATGCATATAGACCTAGTGAGTGTAACAGGTTTCGTAGTACATCCTCAACAGATAAGTTACAAGATGCAAGACAAACACGGTTGTGTTTTACACGTTTGCAAGAGGTGCATACAAAGGTGAACTGTGAACCAGTGAGCAAGTTCAGTGATAAGCTAAATGTAAACTCCAGGCCTGACTCCGAATTGTGTGACGATAACGGTGCGGTCAAGAAGTCTGTAGTTGCAACTGGTAAGCCATTGTTGAATAGAGTGTCACAGAATAGAGTTGCTGCTTCAGAGTGCAGTTCTGACCCTACAAGTTTACAAGGTATTACTAGTCAGAGTGAAGTTATAAAACCTTTTAGGATTTGCGAGGAGGAACCAAAATTGTCTACTTCTGTTATTAAAGAGTTTGAAAATGATGAAGTTGACGGTAAAGTGAATATTCGTGATAATGATCATGATACTTCACAGTTGTCTTTGGTTGATCATGATGAGATGAGGGATATGCCTACTACTGCTGAGTTGAACAACAGTTCTGTACAACTTGAACGTGAAGTAGAAATAAATGCAGATGCAGTTGCAGAAGGCATGCATACTTGTCAGACCGTCAGTGTGATTGATCAGCATGTAGCCCACCTATCATCAGATGCTAGTGTTAAACCTGAGCTGATAGTAAAAGACAGCAGTGGTGGTGGTCTTGCAGGTAGACAAATTTCTGAAAGCCGAGCAACAACAGCTTCTGATCCACCGCTAACTTCATCAACTTGTATCAATCAGTCGTCGTTGGTGTTGTCATCCACAATGAAACAGACGCCCATCAACTCAAGTATCTTGTGCAATGACTATGATAGTATTGGTGCATTTGAAAGGACGAAAGATATTGGTCAGTTTAGTGAGGATAAGCCAAGTGTAAACGAGAGAGTAATTGTTAAATTGACTTGCATGAATAAAGGCATTTCTAGTTTCAAGTTACTATTTGAATGTTATTATCTTTGGTGTAAATTACTCTGTTTCTATACTTGGTTGATGAGATATGTCGTGTGTTTGTTCGTCATCTATATTCTACGATACAATGACATGGGCGTGTTGCCGTTCAGATTTGAGGATATAGCTGATAGAAGGAAGTCAGCAAATGAACTCTGCGACGATTTTCCAACCTAGGGCGTCAACCTGAGAAGGGTTGTAGGCGTACTGCTGTAAGTCCTACAATTCTTCAAAGGGTAGCGCATCAATGAGCAGTCCAATGTGCTTGGTGTGTGATTTTGTACATAAGTTCATATTGTATATACTGAATTGATATCATCTGTCATCTAGCTGTTGGTAATTCTGTTTGTGTCCGGACGACTTCCACTTGGATCATCAACCTGAGAAGGAATGTAGGCGTACTGCTGTAAGTCCTACAGTTCTTCAAGGGTAGTTTGTCGTGCCAGAATCCACAACATTTGATGTGTTGATTGTACATATGTTTGTGTTAAATAGTTGTGTGAGTTCCAATT